AATGTTTTAGTCATAGATTAAAATTGTTGATTAAATAAAGTATTAGCATGATTGCTGAAAAAAAAAAAAAAAAAAAAAATTGTTACAACAAGGCCTCGATGCTGGTTAATTTTTATTAAGTTGTTTGTAGGTTTATATTAATTAGTAAGAGTACAATTGGTCACATATACAACTTTAATCATTGTCTATTTAAAGGTTCTGCTTAGAAGTTATCTACTAATTGCTATATCTAGTATTTCTTTGTAAATACTCTATTTTAAACTCTCTAACGTCCTTGTCATCTCTAAGCTATTAATCTAATTTTATTTTTAAATCTGCACAATCTTATGCTGCCTCAATGAGGACCACTCAGACTAACTTTGTGCCTCAGTTTCCCTTATTAGGAGGGCTCTATCTCAAGGTACCTTTTTGTTCTTATCAGGAAGGGTCTGTGATATACCCCAATTATGCTGTACTATATCCTAATTAAGCTAGCATATATTCTTATAGATGTTTGTATAAACCTAGTTCTTTTCATAGCTTTCTACTAGATATAGTCCTCTGAGATTTCAATGTTTCACAAGATAGATCCTCTCAATCTAGTTAGCTACCAAGCCAAGTTGGTGTTGCCACTAATGCAAGGCACCAGGTTGCATTATACAGTAGACTTATTTGCACCTATTGATCTTATATCTTTTGTGCTCAGGTTTTTTACTAGATTAAGCGTTAACCAGATTGACTATTGAAATCTGTACTACTTCATCTAATTTGGGATTTCTACTATACAGGTCCTTTGCTCATAGATCCTATCAAGATTTATTTATGTAATATAACTCAAACATTATGTCACATTTCCAACATCTAATTGACATTGGTATAATGTGATTTACAGAGTTACAACCCCCAGAAACAAACAGAATTTATTGTAAGTTAGATACAAAGGTCTGAGTAATTATTCAAACTCATCGATAGTGGGATTTAAACTCTAAACCTCTTACATAGCAGTCCAACAACCTAACCACTACACTAAGATCGCCAGACCTCTATGTATATATTATTAAAATGTTTAAATTTTAAAAAAATTTTATAATAACTAACTTTTTTATATAATAAATATTATTAATTTTATTATATAAATTATTAATCTTTTTATATAGTAAATAATTTAAATAGGTCATTTTTTTTATTATAACTTTTTTTTTATATAATAATTCTATTTAAAATTTTACAAGTTTATATATTAAGGTTATATTAAAATATTTGTATAGTAGTATAAAAAAATATTTAATTTTGATTAGCTAATTAATAATTATATTAAAAAGTTTTAGTTTTTTTAATTTTTTTTAAAAATATAAGCTAATTTTAAGCTTTTTTTAAAAAATATTTAATTAAAAATAAATATAATTTTTTTTTATAAATATATTATATAAATATATAAAGAATTTTACTAAAATATACTAATAGTATTTTATATCTATGCATTATCTCAAAAACTAGCTAATTATAGTATGAGGTATTCTAAATAAAAATGTTCTATGCCTCTAAAACCCCTTTTTAAACTCTAATACTAACTTAAAAACTAACTCTAAGATGAAAAAATTTAAGTCAAAAATTTCTATAATAAAACTTATAAAAACTTAGAAAATTTAAAAAATATAATAAAAATATATAATAGGTGAAAAACATCATAGATGCATTTTAAAATAATTAATATACAAATATTAAATATATTTATTAGAACAAATTTAATTAATACCAGAGAATACACATATTCTATTCTCAAACCCCATGCACTTCAATTCAAATATTTGGGTATAATAAATAACAAGTGACGAATAATTGAATGATGAATAAGAATCAACTATATATCGTATATAGCCAATTCTTATTCGTCAAGCCTCTTATTCATCGCATAAAATATTTATCACACTCTCAATTCCAAGTTCAAAAAAATTGAAGTACTAACTATATACAACTCAATAAATATTAAAAAAAAAAATAACACTTCACTTCAGCTATCGCCTCCACTACGCTTTTTAACTAAAACATCAGATTAGCTTTTATTAGGTCTTTACTCTAACCCTAAATACGAATGCTTTAAGACTATAATAGTTTCACAGTTAACAGTTACATACATCTAAATAAATTTATAACTATAAAAAAAAAAGTAACACTTCGCTTCAGCTATTGCCTCTGCTACACTTGTTAAACTAAAATATTAAGCTAATAGTTATTACTAGGTTTTTACTCTAACTCTAAATATAATCATCCTAAGACTTTAATAGTTTCATATATATATAAATGCTTTTAGACTGTAATAGTTTCGTAGTATTATATGTAATATAGTTTAGTTACAACACCAAACTTTAGCAGATACTTTTGCTTTGCTTTTTTAATAAACTAGTTTTGGAACCAAAATTTGTATGTATCAATAATATACCTAAGATCAACTCAAACTAAAACTTACCTATAAAACCTGAAACAACAAAACATTCAGATATTTAAAAATTAAAAAAAATTTGTTTGAAATGTTAAGCAAAATCAGTTCAAATACGATAGTCTTATAATGTTTACTATTCAGACAAACCAAAAGCCCAACCTAAACTAAGATCCAAAAGTAAGTATTTGGATGCCTTATTCTCATTATTTCATTTTCATACTCTTAGCAATAATCAAGCTAAAATATTTCTTATTTGCTAATGATTTTACAATATCTTTATTTGACATTTGCTGCTATAAAAAATGATATGAAAAAATATGCAGAATTTGAATTTAATACTAACTTATATGAGCTGCTATTAGTAAAAATCAAGCAAATTTATTAAATAAATCTATCTAAAAACATATACTTAACTAAACAAAATAATAAGCCTAATTTTAAATCTACAAACATATAAATTAATACATGACTTCAAAATTAGTTATATGTATATATTTTTTTCAATAAGTAGAAACAAACCAAATATTAAGCAAGATATAAATTTTAAAGAGTTCTAACTAGAGAAATAGAGTTTTGCAAATGCCAGAACAGTACTATTAAAACATAGTAATACTATGTTTTAATAGTATCATTTTGGCATTTACAAAACTTTAGTTCAAACATACCCACTTCCTAATTATTTTCTTTATTGTACTGATCATTTTTTTTGAGACAATTTCTTGAATCATGATACCAAGACTTGCATATAGCACATTGTCTTTTGTTTTTCTTTTTTTCTTATAGAGAATAATTCTCAATAGCTGACAAGTATCTTTTATTTGTAGATTGTTCTTTTCCTTTATGTTGAATCGGATCTGTAATATTATATATGCTATTCGAATCTTCAGAAGATTCTGTAGACATATTATTTTGAGCTATAAAATTATTTTGCTTTTCAATAAATTGTTGTAAAAGTTCTTCAAAAACTTGACTAGAATTATTTGCAATTGCCAAATTTAAAGCCTTTTTGCATAGCCCATATCACGACCATATATATCTTTTTTTGAATCTTTACTATGAGATTCATCGAATATTTCTTGACCACAAATAGAATTCAATGTTTAAAAAATACCAGATTGAAATTCAGCCTCTTCGTTTTGAATTAGCCAAATTGATTGTTCCTGAGTTTTATCTCTTAATAAGAGTCCCTCTTTTGAGTACCATATATAAGGCACAAGTTTAATATTAAACTGTGCTTTTTTTGAACAGAGCATTACAGCAAAGAAGTGCCTGCAGACAAATCCAGTATAAATTAAGTAAAGACAAGTACAGTAATGCATACTATCATCGAATATGATTACATACTATAATTTATTTGTAATTGTTTGAATATGCTTAACTTCCCAAATTTCAGCTAAAATACCCTTCGAACAATCCTCTAATACTATATTTATTAAAATTTGAGATTCTTCATAGTCGTCTTCAAGAAACCCGATATTATACTGATTTGAATTCTGCATTATTACATTAATATTAATGTCTTCAAATTCTCTTTTTACAACTCTATACAACAGGCTTTCTATCATTTGTTTTCATTGTAATGCCAGTGAATTCGGTGTAAAGTATTTTTTAAAATTTTTATCTATAGATTTGAAAATAGTATTGGAAACCCAAGGAATTCTAGTAGTAGAGTTCATATTTTGAAATTCTTGCTATCTAGTATATTTAGCTTCATCCTTTAGTTGCAATTCAATTTCAGACTGGAGTTGGCACAGTGAATTTCCTGAATTAGCCTCTAACTTTATAACCCTATTTAAGCTTTCTACCTGTTAAGTTGAATGCGTATTGGCTGAAAAGCTATGTTTAGTAAATACATATACCTAGCATGCTTTACTTGGATACAATACATGCTCAAAATACTTTTGAACTTCTGGGTATTTGGTTATTAAACTCTCTCAATGGTATTCAAAGAGTGAACAGGTAAGTGAGTTATGTAAAATATAAAAGTCATCAATGAAAGCATCCTATTTACTTTGAACCTTTGGTTTAACTTTCTTTATTAAATTTTGTCTAATATGAAAAGCGCAATGTCTCACAATTGTTCCAGAGTACTAGTTATTTATTGCAACTTGTATCGCTGGGTCTGCATCAGTAAAAAATATTTTTGGTTGAAGGCTCTCTGTTACATTCTTTATTTGTTCTAAGACCCATTCATAAGTTGATACTGTTTCATCACAAACCACCACTGTAGCTATAATTCGACTTCATTGATCTGAATTGATTATTACAAAAACATTTATGGGCATCAAATATTTGTTTGTTTTACATGTGTTGTCATTTATAACAACATCATGATGCTCCAGTGACATTCAAAAAATTTTGGTTAGTCTATTATCAATACTCTCAAAGTCAACCTTAAAATAAAATTCAGGATCTTCTGAATGTAGTTTAATTAAATGTTCAAAAAGCATTGCAGTATTATTTTTAGTTTAAGCACCGGTCTTGAATTTATATATTGTATTATAAAGATCTTGATGGTAAATATCTTGATTTGGATATTTATTTCTTAATATTTTTTTTAAAACAGTAGCTTCTAGGTGACACTCTTGAACAAAAAATTGTATTTCATCTATTATATTATCTGGTATTTTACATAACCTTAGTAAAAATTCATTAAGAAAATCCTGATTTTGTAACTTATGATTATGTTCACTAACAAATTTGTTAACAAATACTAGATTCTCAGACCTACAGTATGAAGTATTTAATGTAAATCCACAATCAATGCGAGTTGATTCTCGGTCTCAGTTTTGTGTAGGATCTGCCTTTTTTTTAGGTATGTATTTTTACTATGATGACTCTTATATGTTTTTTGTGCTCAGTTATGCTTCTTTTTCTCAGCCCTTATAGTTCTTATTTCAAAATCTCTTTGAATAGCATATCGTCTCAAACATAGTTTAAGTATTTCACATGATACAAATGTTTGCCTACTGTAAATTCTCTCAATTCACTATCTTCTGGTTTATCATCCTCACAACTACTATTATCATACAAATCTTTTTCAGTACTTTGATATAAGTAACTATTCGATCCACTTTGCAATTCAACTACCAAACTAAGATCATTAAAATCCCTAATTATAAGTTGAAGTTAGGCATTAGTTTGGGGTTTGGCGTTAGTTTCGAGTTGGGTATTAGTTTTGGGTTAGGCATTAGTTTCGAGTTGGGTATTAGTTTTGGGTTGGGCTTGTCTAAATAATAAAATATTGTAAGACTATCATATTTGAACTGATTTTGCTTCTCAATATTTTTAAAATTTAGAATCTCCTTAAAATACCTGAATGTTTTATTATTTTCTTCAGTTATGGGTTAGAAATTAGCTTCAGGTTGGGAATTAGCTTTGGGTTGGGCATTAGTTTCAGATTTGGTATTAGTTTCAGGTTGGGCATTAGTTTCAAGTTGGTTTATCTAAATAATAAAATATTATAAGACTATCATATTTGAACTGAATTCAAAATCTTCTTAAAATACCTGAATGTTTTGTTATTCTCTTCGAGTTGGTCTTTAGTTATAGGTTAGGCTTTAATCATGAGTTGGTCTTTAGTTATGAGTTGGTCTTTAGTTTCAGGTGGGCTTTAGTTTTAGTTGAGCTTTTGGCTTGTCTAAATAGTAAAAAGCTGTAAGACTATCATATTTGAACTGATTTTGCTTCTCAACATTTCAAATGAATTTTTTTTTTTTTGAATTTCTAAATTACTTTACTTTTGAGTCTTAGTTTCGAGTGGGCTTTAGTTTTGGGTTGGGCTTTTGGCCTGTCTAAATAGTAAAAAGCTGTAAGACTATTGTATTTAAACTGATTTTGCTTCTCAATATTTCAAACGAAATATTTTTTTTAAATTTCTAAATTACTTTACTTACGGGTCTTAGCTTGGGTGGACTTTAGTTTTGGGTTGGGCTTTTAGCTTATTTAATAGTAAAATGCTATAAAACTATCGTATTTGAATTGAATTTTGCTTCTCAACATTTCAAATGAAATATTTTTGTTCTTTTGAATTTCTACATTACCTTTACTTTTAAGTAGGCTTTAGTTTTAGTTGGGCTTTTGGCTTGTCTAAATAGTAAAATGCTATAAGACTATTGTATTTAAACTGATTTTGCTTCTCAACACTTCAAACGAGATATTTTTATTTTTTTGAATTTCTAAAAATCTGAACATTTTGTTTAGTTTCGGATGAGCTTTAGTTTTGGGCTAGTCTTTGGTTCTAGGTGATCTTTAGTTATGAGTTAGTCATTAACTATAGGTTCATAATTATTTTATGAGTTGGTCATTGACTATGTTAATTTTTTTTTTGTTAGCATTAGCAAGGGAAAGTCTTCATCATTCATTTAAAAGTAAGGTCTACTAAACACGTGTTAACATATGCATTCAATCATATATAACTAGACATGATTAATTATTATTATCGTTAACATATTATTTAAGTTACAGGGATATCTAGATATGCATATCCATTAGTTAACTCTTAATATATACTTTAAATATTTTTTATAAATTTGCAAAACAATATTTTGTTATAACTTTTTCTCTTTCTTTTTGTTTACATATATTAAGACTGTAATATCTTTTTTCTTTACTTTTTTCATTTGTTTTTGTTTTTTTTTTACTTTTGTTTTCTATATAGATTTAGTAGTTATACTCTTTTTTTTTGTTCTTTTTCTTTTTTTTCATCTTCTATTTTGTCCCTTTTATAAAACTATTTTTTCTTTATTCTGCTAGAATATAGATAGAAAAAGTTTTTAAGAAAAGACTAGGTAGTTTTGATATAAGTAGATAGTAGCTTCTCTGGAATTAGAAGCAAGTAGGCTATTATATAGTCTAATATTTCTTATAAGAGAAATAGTTACTATAGCAGATTATACTTAGATATCTTTAAAGTAACTGAGTAAGTTTAAAGCAGTACTTAGAAGAGTAATTTAGTATTATTTTTTTATAGTATTTTATTTTGTAGCTTTTTATAAGCTTTTTTTTAATGAAGTAACAAACAAAATAATCTAAGTTTAAAAAAAAGAAATTAAAAATAGAAAGAAAATTTGTAATCAAATTACAAATCTTTTATACAAGATAAATTTTGTATCAAATTAATAAAAACAAATTTGACAAAATAT